TAGATTATACAAACTCACAGATATTATCAAAATATTATTAACTTTATTGAAAAGTACAAGGCTTTTAACACAGCTGTACAGAACTAGAAAAATGCCACCACTCGTCTGCTGACACGACACCGCTGTTGCTTGAAGAAAAAACGACCTCTCGCTACAGACGCTCAAAAAGGAATGTTTTTTAATTCTTTCTATTGCAGTGTAGGATTTGAAAAGTCGACTATCACTGTAGTCAAAAATCGACTTTTCGATGAAAAACTTGTCTTTTGGAATCGACTTCACTTATCAGATGGACTTGAATCATGGTATAATAATTACAGGTATTGGCACATTTCATAAGTTGCGTTTTTTTACTCATTTCCAGTAAAATCCAGTAAAAGTTTTTACGAATTTTCATGTTTTGGCGTTTTCGTACGCAAAAACTTGCAAAGTAGGGGAAATTGAGAGAGCGGAAAATGACAGCTGAAGTTGCAAGTTTTTACTGGATTTTACTGGATAAATTTTTACTTGTAAGAATTTGCCAGTACGAAAAACAGCTGATCGCATGTTGCTGTATGAAATTTAAACTAATAAGGAAACTGTTTGTGGATTTTTATTGTGGAAATTTTCAAAACAAACATATTTAAATATAAAATATATCGTTTTATTGGGAATATGCTGCGAATAAACAACCAATTTATCAGCTGTTCATGAAACTTGCAAATTATTACTGGAAAAGCGTTCGCGTACTTTTTTGCAAATTTTTTCTATGAGAGCGAATTCTTAGAAATAAAGTTACTGGAGAGTTACTGGCAAGTTACTGGATAATTTGTAAAAAAACACAACTATAGTCATATTTAGGCTGCATTTCTTTATTCATTCTGAACGTTTGGAATAAACTTTTTTGTTTATTTATTCTTTAGAACGTTTCTGATGATATGTTGACGTATATTTCAAACGCATTCTGTTTATTCCGGCTGTGAAATGGGATTATCCGGAATGTATAAAGAAACGCAGCCTTAGATCACAACTAAGTCGAAACTATCCTAAGTTACAACTAAAGCTATTCATAGTCGCCTTAGTTTCGACTATTCTGGCTTAGTATCAACTTAAAATTTACAGCGCTATTCCGGTTTTGCAATAGAATGACAATTGATCATCATTCATTGTCGTGATTTTGTCATTATCGTTGCACGTTGGCATTCCTAACAAAAAATGACAAGCGAAAAGCTTTTGTCAACTTACCATGCATGGTGAAAAGTTCATTGTTGTAGAAACAGCTGGTCAACGCTATTATTTGCAAAAAATATGAGCGGTGAAACACCAGAAAAGTGAGTATTTGTGTGAAATAAATAAATTCGTATATTTATAACATTTATAAACATTTTAGACGTCCAAAATATGAGCGGACGACGCAGGAGCAGCTGCAATTTTATGTGCAGTTTTGTAGGGAGCATCCGGGGCTGCAAAAAGGAAAAAATAATCCGTGCTCCCCAAAACTGATGCAGTCGCTCTGGCCGCAGATGGCTGACAGCCTAAACGCCATGCATGGTCCCACCCGCTCCGTAGCAAAGTGGAAAGATGTATGTTTTGTATATTTGAATACATACATATGTATGTATTTATATCTTTCATTTATGCATGAATACATTTGCATACACACATTATTTCGCAGACATTAGCGGCGTTGAAAAATCAGCTACGCTGCAGAGCACGAAAAGTGCATGAGCACGTAATTGGAACAGGTGGGGGACCACGGACGGAAATTTATTAAATCGTCACACTTTTTATATCAACACAAACATATGTTTTTGGCTTGTTACATGCACAAAAAGTCATGGCAATAAAAATGACAATTGGCATGATTCGAGCTTTTGAATTTTGCTGCGAATACCAAAAAGCTGCAATTGTCATTTTTATATCAATTGTCATCGCGGTGAGTTTTGTCAGTGTGGCGGAATAGGGCTGTTAGTTTCGGCTGCAGCTGCAATTAAGTCGTAACTAGGAGGAAGTATTACAATTCGAATAAGGCTACATCACAATTTTATAATTTGGAATGATTTACATATGTAAATGCTCAAATAACAAGTCAATTTCAAGCTTTTCTTTTAGAGAAAATTGGTGCATAACATTTAGATATGTGTTTGTATGTTTCACAGCATGCTTTCGATAAACATCGACTTCACATCATTGCTGTAGTTCTGGCTATTTCACACAATTAACAAGAAACTTATACCTTATTCTTTTACATAAACATGCAATGAAAGTAAAAATTACATAAACGGATGATCAAACTTGACATTATTTAATAAAATGTAATTTTTCCAAATATCGTATCATTTTGACGCAG